ATACGAAGTTTAAACAGTTTCTGGAGTTAAACTGAGCAATAAAGCAATGCTTTGGTAAATCTATTCCAAGGGTCATGCTACAGAAAAGATGCTGAAATGCTCCAAATTAATACTAAGGTCAGGAATCTTTCCCGAGGAACAGATGGCCTCTTTAAAAAGGCTTTTAACATTCAAATTCCAATGAGGATAAGCAGGAATCCAAACTACACTGAAATCATGGAATAAAATTGACATCCCTTTTTTCCCCCTCTGTTTAAAGATGAATCATGCAGCAGAAATGAAAATATTAAGTGAGAGTTATAGACATTAAGTAAATCATCTGGGATTAAACTATTCCACCTTGCAGCTAACAGCATTTTAATCTCCTTAACGGGACAGAACCTTGTTAGTAGTAACACATTTCAAGCTTTTCACGATTTTACATCACCCCGTTACTTCACTAGGTAGACACACACAACAACCCCTGCTGTAACATATTCAAGGTCTAAAAATGAAGGTGGACCTGAAATGTTCTCTGATGAAGGGGCTAAAGTGTGACAACACGCAGAAGACACAGGAAAAATTCAGCCTTAAAGCTTACAAGCTCAGCATTTCCCACAGATGGGGAAGGAAGCCCAGACAAGGCTGGAGCACGACAGAATTCCGTAACTACAGAACATTAGCTACATATTAATACTAAGGGTTAATTAATATTGTTGATTGCTTCAGCCATCTGTAGGAACTGGTGCTCCACTCCCACTTCACAGCCCTTCAGATGCTTGCAATCTCTCCGTTCCCAATAGAGGGGTTTGGAGCTGTCCTCTGAGGGGTGGGAGCAGGGAACGGCCGTGCTGGTAGGAAGAGCCACAGGACTGGCACCCAACTTACCTGCAGCCACTGCTGCTGTTACACAGCACGGTACCAGGGTTAACCAACCCCAGGCTTACTTGTACCAGAAAGCAGAGGTTGGGGCTGGAGGGTTGGTCTGCCTGCCATCTTTCTTCCAAGAAAGTCTGCCAACTCAGACCAAGCCCTGGCTGCTTTTCAGAGGTGAAGCTTCCCCAGAGCTCAGAGCATTATTTCAGAACAGCAACAAGCCAGAGGATCACGTTTTACTCTACACACGGTTTTGCTAGCTTCAAACCCTCTCCAATTAATTCCTGCATTGCAGTTAGGAATAGATTTATTTTTTTAAAACAGTGTCACCACAATCCATTTTCTGTATATCTTTTTTTGCTTAAAAACAAGGGAAGATGACCTTACTAAGATGCTAGCAACACCTATATTTCTTCCTCTAACCAAGCACTACACCAGCATTTTGCAATCTCACTAATGCCTTATTCTAAGTACAAGCACCCACCCATATGAACTGAAACAAGGTGCTTCTAGGTGCACTACCACCAATCTCAGATGCACCCAGCTGCTGCTAATTACAGCCACAGCAGCTTCCATGAGAGCCATGCAGTTCCTCAGAGCTTAGCTCAAGGACATAGCCCATTTCAAGTCTTCACTGGATGTCATTTGCATGGAGAATTTTCATAGCATTATGCTGAGCAAGAAACAGTGTGTTATTAGAAGAGACGAGAACCTGTAATCACAGGTTTTATTAGACGCTGCATGTGCTGAATCCATTAGCTGGTCAACCCACACAGAAGCGATAGCTGTCTGCAGAGGTGTCAGCTTCCAGCTCAGGACAGTCTGAGTATTACAGGTTCTCCTTCAAAACATACCGCCCTGCAGCCAGATGACCACAGTTTAGTTAGTCTGAAGTTTTGTGTGTTTTTTTAATATCATCTGGCCATCCAGGTGTTCTTTTGGTCATTCCTCAGGGATATGCTGCAGAAGAGAAACTCAGAGGGCAGTTCAGTTTCCCTCTATAAAAGAGGATGCCACTGTATCATATCCAAAAACAGAAACAACTTAAAAAAAAAAAAGCTATCATCTTTTTACATTTGGAAAAAATATTAGTCATAAGGGGAACTGTGTGCAACCACTATTATTTAGAACAGATTCTAGATCTCTACACAAAACTAACAGGTAGTCACGAGCTTCCCCAGTGCATAATCTCCCTTCTTTTCCCTGCATGTTTACTCTGACATTAATTCACAATGAACACTGAGAAGAGATCGATACAAGTGGGCAGAGGGGAGGGAGGGAAATCTAGTGAGAGGCAGAATTGTTTCAACTCATTATTTTACTGTTCCCGATAAAGACTTTTGTCAAATACACCAAACAACGCAGTCTAACTGGTACCTTTAGAGGGCTGCTGGAAACACAGTCTATAATAGCATCAATTGTCATCTCCTGTAACGACATACTACACTGCAAGGTAATAACAGTTTTGTTATCAAATACACCCAATTGGTGAATTCCTCCTGAGTCCGTAGCAAGCCCCGAGGTACTGTCAACATTTCATTGTGGTTCTATCACCTCCATGCACCAAGGAGATTTAGGTCTTCCTTAACATATAAACATCTCAGCCCTCTTTAAGAGAATGCCCCCCCAGCAACCCTGTTGTTTTCCACCCCCTCCTCTACTGGGGTTTTAGTATGCTTGTTACTGAAAATCCCACCTTCTTCTGAGACTGATCCCCGAGGAGTCCTGTGAGCAGGCTGTTAGCAGCCCAACACTTTCTCTTTCACAGGATTGCTTCCTGCTGGCCAGTTTCTTACTCGTTCTTCCAGAGTCATCCTCTCTAGTTACCCTGATTGGACTTCAGCAAGCATCTGATAAAGCCAAGCACAAGTAAATCTGGCTGAACTGATCTCCAGTGATAGCAGCCCAGCAAGCATCTTATGAACTGCTTTTGAAAATCATTTTGTATTTCCTTATTACTTCCATGTCCAGTTCTTTTTGAAAATGCACAAGGCCTGCATGTTCGGGGCTCAGACTAATGAGCTTGCTGCTATGCAGAGCCTTCTTTCAAGCTGTTTTTGGAATAAATGTATTTGCTATATTCTTTCATCATGTGAAACACGCTACCTCAGCCTGAGGTCTACTGAGTACTTCTAAAGAATTCACAGGTTTTACATTCTTCCTTTTTAGAGAGCCTTAGCCTTGATTTACAATAAAGTCAAGGTTTCACGCCATCTTCACTCATTGCTCAGCAGCTGTCTGGCTGCACACAGACCGTATTGGCTATCCTATAAATGGTTTCACACCCTATCAAGTTCTGCCATTTTATTTCCTAAGCTTCCTGCATTCACATGCGCACACATCATTTCTTGCTAACCACACCCTAGCACTGCAGCTAAATTAAATATTGCATACCTGTCCTCATCAGTAAGAGCACTTTCTCCGATGTCCATTCTCTTAGCCATGGTTGTTTATCCATTTGTATATCTTCATTTATCCTAGTTTCCTCTTCCTATAAGAGTCTAACCTGTACCACGTGTCTGTCCTGGCAGCAGAGGAACGAAGTTCCAGAGATATCAGATAAGCTTAGGGACTGTATACACAAAAACCAGAGGAGTTCTGTTCTCAGTCTCAGAAATCAGAACAACATGCAACTGTTTGGAGTCATCACCTTAGAGGGAAAAATAAAATAAGGTTTTAGAACAAAATTAAGGTCTACCTCCTTTGTTCCAGTCAGATACAGCAAAAAAGCAAGAAAGAATCATAATTAGGTTCCACTGGATGCATAAGGCAAGCAAGTGACTTTAAAGGTCCAATTTACATTTTGAATCCTGGTACCTCCAGTAGAACAGGTTTGCTTTTAGACTACTGTTCTTTACAGTAACTTTTTCTTTAAAAAAAAAAAAAAAGTAAAAACAGGAGGTTCTTCCTTCAGTTCAGATTTATGACTTGTTTAAATCCCTACAGAAAACCACTAAATTCCTCGTTAAATCATAGTACCTAAACACCATGGGGCTTAATAAGTCCCCCAGGGCTGGGATCTTCTTCCCATTCCCGAGCAATGCCCCAGCACAAGAGGCCCTCGATCCAAATCACAACAGAAAGACCCCACAGCACACATCCCATATCACAGCATCCAGTAACTCTAAGAGTTAAGACTTCCTTCATGGGGTTTGAAGTGATGTGGGATACAAAGCACCTACATTATGCACCAAGGCATGGTTTTATATTTGAAAACCAAGAGCCACAATGCTTCAAAGGCCTAGAGAGCTCACACCATGTAACCTCCCCCAAAGCAATACAGCCATGGCCTGAGAAATCCCCAAAGCAAACACTTTATTTTCCCTGGCCTTACCACAAGGAGAACACAGGATAATTTTAATTCAAGCCAAAACCGTGCGGAGATGTCACTGAACCCTCAAGGATGCGGTGCAAGCAGGCACCGGGCACCCAGGTGACAAAGTAACTTGCCTGGGCAGGAGCAGCGCTGACAAAAGGAAACGGAGGCCGAGCGGGGAACGCTCCTGTCACCCCTCGGAGGGCAGCAGCGCAGCTCCCACCCCCCCGCCGCTGTTTTTCCACCAAACCCCAGGGCCGGGAGCCCCTCACAGCCGAGGCCCACAGGCGGTGCCCAGCAGCGGCCTGCTCCTGCCGGGCCGGCCTCACCCCGCGGGGCCCTGACGGCCTCTCGGGGCCTACCCCGGTGCGTGAGGAAAGGGAGAAGGAGGAGGAGGAACAGGAGGCGCCACCGCCCCTCCGCGGCCTGCAGGGCCTCGCCGCCACCTCACGGAGCCTCGCACGGGCGGCGGCGGCGCGGCCCCCCCCCGACCCCTCAGTACCTGGCCGCGGAGCCCCCCTCCCGCTGGGCGCTGAGGCGCTCGGCTTCGGGCTGTGGGGCGGCGGGCGGCCCGGCTCGGCCCTGCTCGGCGCGGCTCCGTGCGGCTGTGGCTCCCCGCGGGTCCCCGCCTGCGGCCGCCGCTGCCTCAGGCTCAGCTCCGGCGGCTCCGCTGCGCCCCCATCCCCGCCCGGGCCCAAGATGGCGGCGCAGCGCGCACGGGGTTTCCCCTCCCACTCTCGACGGGCTGCACAAAGCGGGGCGCGAGAGGCCGCGGCCCAGCCAATGGCGGAGCGCGCCGGGGGCGGGGCGGGAAAAGCGCGAGGCGGCCGCGCGCCCGTGCCCGCGCCTGCGCCTCAGTCCCTGCCCTGCACCGGGAGCGCGCTGAGGGGCGGGGCCGGGCGGGGCGGGGGGCGGGGCCTCGCCTCAGGCTGCGCCGCCGCCGCCTCAGGTGAGGAGAGGGGGAGGGGCCGGGAGCCCCCCCCGGGTGCGGAGAGTTAATGAGGGGAAAAATTAACGAGGGGCACGCGGGGCCCGCCTGCAGGGCAGCGTCTTGCTTGGTTGGGGTCGTGTGTGAGGCCCGCACGGGGAATGAGGGGAATTTGTGGTTTTTTTGAGGGGAAAAGATGCGGTCCCGGGCAGCCCCCGGCAGGCAGAAAATGGCGGCAGGCTGCGGGCCGGGAGCGTGCCCGCCTCAGCGCTCACGGGCTGACAGCACACCTCACGGTTATTTTCCAATTTCTGTCCTTAGATAACGTCTCCGAGCCCCCAAAACAATGAATTGTAAAGAAAAAGACCCCGAGGTAGGTCACACGTTAGCTGCAAAGCCCACGTCTCCTGTCCGGTCGCAGAGTTCCCACACACCGGCCCCGCTGGTGAGGTCCCCGCAGCCCCGGTGTTCGTCAGGACGAGCTGGGCAGTGGCAGCTGCAGAGATACAGGAACACACAGCACCCAGGTATCGAAACACAGAATAGTGCAGGAACTGAGAAAGCACTTTTTCTGTTTCCCATTCCTGTAAAATCCATATCCTGTCTCATTTCTTTTATAACGTCCCCTGGAACGCTTTAACCAGCTTGTTAATTTTAGCTTTGCATTTTTAAATGTGCTCTTTAAGCACTCAGTGCAGGCAATGCTAAAGAACTAAAAATACAAGATGCTGTGCAAATCTCGCAGCTTGTAGGATTAAAAGTGCTGTATCTCAGGAGATGAAGAAATGCAGTAAAAGTATCATTACGAAGGGCTCTATGAATCTCCAATTCCATAAACTTACCCAGGTGCTCAGCTCAGTTCACAGACTTTCAGCACGCACAGAAATTGTAGAAACAACTAACATTAAATGAGTTCAGACGTTTGAAATCAAGACAAATAACGTTCCAGACTGATTTTCAGATTCTCACTTTTTCTCTATGTAGCATTTAATTGAAACTCCTTCAAGATTGTCTTTGGAAAGCCTTAGGGCCTACTAAACCTGCCAAAGGCAGTTACAGCTCTGCAGAGAAATTCCTGCAGGGGCTGCTAGCGGGCAGCCACGCAGCACTGGCCGCGCTGTTGAGGCAGAGCAGGATGCCTCCTCAGCTTCAGGGCACAAAAGCAAGCAGATGCAATTACAGCAAGCAGAGGGATTCTACTAACTTTAGAACTGAAAGTTAATTAAGGCTTAAGTGTGACTGAAGAGAGCTAATAGTGTTTCTTGCCCACATACATATTTGACACTGAATCTAAATAATGTAATCTCCTCCCCTAACAGATGACTGGAGGATAATAAGGATTTGATTTCAGTCTCACATTATGGAAAACATCAACCTCTGCTGTGTCTCCGTGTCCAAGATTCAAATTGCACCTTCACATAAAGCAGCGTGTCGCTGCTATCAACTTTCCCATGGAAATATCTTTCCAGAATGGGTATTTTCCATCTCCTTTACTAATCCCATTTTCTCAACATAGCAACGTAGAGGGAATTCCCTGTTTTCTGAAGTGACTGCTTTCTATGAATCACCCCTTCCCTGACACATTACTCAGCTCCTACTGGGGAGGCACGGGATTCTCAGTTCCACATCATCTGGGCAGAAGGCTCTTACCAGGGTAAAAAATATGCACAAAAAACAACTACTTGCTTTTTTTTTTTTTCTATTATATATACAAGAAAAAAAATACTATGAATAATGATACTAAAAAAGATCTCAGTAGAAACATATAAAATCTGCTGGCAGTATATGACTATTGTATGACTACTGACAGTTAACTTTTTTTTCACAGCTGTTAGTATCAAGGTCTTAACTTTTAAATAGGCAGCACCATGCAACAGAGCCATTTTAAAGGTTTGCAGTACCTTACATGGAGTGACTTTTACTAGAAAAATAGGTCAAAATGGGTCAGTAAGAATGATTTCCACAAGAGGGAGTCTTTAAACGGAAAATGATCTGACAGTTTTGACCCAGTTACAGCCTGTTTTTCTGTTTAAAAAAAAAAAAAAATTCCTTTAAGCATTTGGCATTTTCCCAAATATTATTAACACAGACAATAACATTTCCTTAACAGGTTTTAAAATTACGACTGTTTAAAATACCAAACAAAAATCCACAGTTTTTATTTAACGTTCCATCTTGGTAGTTGAACAGTGTTGGCTTTCATGTTTTCACGAGATGCAAGTCATGACACGTAGTGTTATCGGTGATGCCCTGGGAAGGATGACAGCTTTCACAGCCTGCAAAGGGTACGAGGAGTTGGCTTGCCTTCTATCTTCTTTTCCAGTGAAAATTCCAAGCAGTCCTGGCCCTTTTCACTCTGCAGACATCAAAAGTGCATGAAGTTACCACAGAGTGCCCTGGGCTTTCCTGTAGAGCTGAACAACACCATCACCTGGTTCAGAACTGCTTGCCTAAAGCAGGAGGGCATTGCACCTCCTCTGTGACTAACAGGACAAGCACTTCTCCCCTCCAGTGGCCACAGAATGTCTTCAGGATTAAGGCAACAACTCTCCAAATCACTTTAATCTGAGGACTGGGTTGTGGAGAACATACTTTAATCCTGAACAGAATGAAAAGCAGTTTTGGAATATAATTATTGTTATTTCTTATTCGCAACAAAGAAGATTAGAAGCCGTTATCTAACCAAAATGGTATTTTTTCATCTGAAACTCAAATTTCAGTGATTTACTCTCACACGCATTTTATATATAACTGTCATCATTTGTCAGATGAGCTAAGAGGCAATACAGATTTGCTTTAAAGGGTCTGGTTTTGAATCATTTTGTTTGTTTTTATCAAATACTCCTCTAAAGTTTAAAGCGCACAAAAGATGGAAGCAAGACAGAAGACTGGATAATAGCATCTATATTTCTTCTTTGATTCTTTTATTCTTGTGAGTGCTTGAAAGCTTGCAGCAGTTTTTCAACAACAGTTATTGAGAAAAGGCTGACTTCAGCTCATTCATTCTGAACATCTGGGCAGAACCTAACAACAGTAATTAAAACCCACTAAATTGGTAGCAATACCAAATTGCTGGAGATGAAATACTGCATATCGTCCCACCCTTCTTTGTGGATTTCTGCTAGGTCAATACAGCCTGCTCTTGGAGATCCATTTCTACGTGACTCTTTCTGAAGTTTCTGTCAAGAAAGAACAGCATCCAAATTTTCTGGTCACATAAGCATTGCTCTTGGATTTATTTTTTTTTACCACAAACCCCAGGAAAAAGTAAAGACTCAGAGTTAATACGGCTGATAGGTTTGTGGATTCTGCTCTTTTCAAATTATATACAATAATCTATAATATCTGCTTCCTTGTTTCAGATTGTATCCTTGTTTAAATACTTTTAAAGTAGTGCTTAAATTACATGTTAACATTTGTGAAGAATGTGGAACTGAACTGTGCAGAAAGTTACAGTCATTTCTTACTCCACTTTCTTTATACTGAGGAGAGCAGTGAGAAGGCTTGCTTTAACCATTCTACTTGGTCAGAGCCATCTCCAGGCCAGGAAGTTTTGATTCCCCCACAGCCTGCTCAATCCTTGAACAAGATGAGTTGTCAGCAACCTCAGCATCACTCTGCTATCCCCAGAGTCACTGGGAGCAAAACAGAGCTCTTGATTCTTAAAGCTGGCCCCAGGAAACGCAGACATCCATGGTCTTTAATAACTGAAGGTGCAGCTTACTTAGCATGCATATTTCTGAGACTGGAGGAAAAAAGTCACCGTACCGTTCTTCAGGACTCTGGCTGTCCCTCGTGACACAGCTCAGCCCGAGGACCAACGGATAATGAAAAAAGAAGAACACTTACGATGTTTTCAGAGCAGAAGGGAACTGTAATATCTGCTTTATAGCTGTTCCTAAGAGAAATGCTTTGTGTTCCCTTTGCAATGTGCTGTTTTAAAATACTCCAAAAAGTGATTTCTTCTGCAAAGCTTCTCTGAATATTATATCCCTCCTGGTAAAAACTGTCAGCAATATATTATTTTAACCCAACATTAGGTTCTTTTCCTACTATTGTTCTAGACACTCTCTGAAAATGTAACATTACTTATTATATTTTCAAAATTCTCTACCTTAGATATAATAAACTGTACAGGATCTCCCTCTCACACTATGATTAACAGTTTCACCACTAATAGGTTTAATTGTTATGTAATTCTGAGTAAGTGCTTTCAAAACAAAATGTAATTCACAGCATTCCTATGAAGGAAGGTATTATAATCCCCATACTACAAATATAGAAACTGAAAAAGAATTTGACTGAGGGCCCTGCCCTACAACACAACTATACCAAAGAGATGGAAATCGAAGCCAGGCTTTTTTCTGCTTGTTCAAATCATAAGTATGCTCCCACTTCAGTGGGACCATTGCTTTAAACAGGTATCATTGCATCTCAGACAATTCTTAGTTTCTTTGTTCAATTAGATTTTCACAGATAAAATAGAAAGAAAAAAAAGTCTGCAGTTGAGATCTTCTAATGCCCCTGTGAGGTGGTGAATTTATGCCATTACTTCCTGGATCTCTAGAGCTACAGTTCCTGGAGTGCTCAGCTTGCACATGCACACAAGTAACAGCAGGGCTCCATGAAACTGGTGAGCACTGGCCTTTCCTTTGCAACTGGGAAGTTTTCATCCACTCACCAGCCCCCAGAAACATTAAGAGGCAGCAACAACATAGAAATGCAGAAAACAGCAACATGGAAAAATAGGCAGACTTTGAAATGACAGAAGTAGGCCTCCAGTGTTCTGTACGCATGGAAAAAACAGGGGCTGGAATATTGTGCATGGAATAAAAGCTCGGCAATTTAGACTAAGAGGAAATGTCAAGCAATTGGTCACTAGTTCCTTATCTGCAGTCACAACAGCTGCCGTGAAGTCATAACACAGGTTCTTGATAGTGGAATTACTAACACAAGTTTGCTTAACCTACAAGAAATACTACTTTGTACGGTAGAAAAAAAAAATAATAAAAATGATCCATAAACCACAACTAAAGGAAAAACGAAACAAAAACAAAACAAACAAACAAAAAAGAAAGAAAACACAGCTGGCATTTATAGGACAACATGAAAGCAGCAGTTAGCAATAGTTAGGAAAATCTAAGTTATCCAGAAGTAGCAATGACCAGATGGTGAGAATTTAAACTCTCACATCACAAATACAGCCAATAAAATAGCAGCTAAAGTAACATATGTTTCTTTAGATGTGGTTTCTCTGTCTTTCTTCTGCCCTTAAACCCCAGCTTCTTTTTCTGGCCGTGTTCAAGTTTACATAGGCAAGTACAGAAAGAAGAAGCAGCAAGGGATATTTCAGGAACTATTCTGCTATATAATACTTGTGTGAGAGTTGATCACATAACGCTGTATTGCTCTGAAATGACTAATCAGTCCTTTCTTGTATTTTACGATTCTAGGTTCTTCTTTCATATCTTACCATTTCAGCTTTGTGGTGTCTGTAGAAATGTGTTTGTGGTCTTTTTTTTTTTTTTTTTTTTTTAACTTCCTCCTTTATCTTTTTTTAGTTCCTTCATCTCTTGGAAAATAGGTAGTCCCAAATCATTTTTTTTTTTTTTTTAATTTGCACATACACAATCTCAAAGCTTCAAGTTAAGTTTGATAACAGTACAAGAATATTTGTGCCAACAGTAATTCTGGTGTTAAGTAGATACAAATCAGCCAGATTCTCTCTGCTGAAGTTGTACATCACTGAAGGCAGTGAATGGAAGTATGAAATGGAAATGTATCCCTTTGCCCACCTTTCATTCAACACTAACTTTCAAGCACATACAGCAGCGGCTCCAGCTGACAGTGCCAGAGCTCAGCGTGACTCCTTTTATCCTGAAAACAAAGCTGAGCTGCACTGCCTTTGACTTATTTAGGAGATCACATTTGAACTCTGATGTCTGGTTTACTTCTCCTTTAGCTTAACATTTGATTTCAGAGACATGCAAGTTGTGTGGTTTTCCTGGTCGATATGACAACGTACTTTAGGCCAAATCTTAAAAGTGGCGAAACAATGTGTGAGTCAATTGTCTTGCACAAATCAAGATTAGATCCATGCGGAGCTTCTCAAGAATAGAAAGCAATGTTTGCAGCTAGTAGCAAATACCTTTAGATATTTGTGCGCCAATTTCAAACGGATGAAGGACAATTATGTAGTAGATTGCAGGTACAGAACATGGACTGGACACCCGACAATCATTTGTCTCACAAAGTATCTGCCCTTCTGTTGGGGCGAATCCTGAGGCTCTTCCTGACATCAGTATGCTATCTTGATTCTGCTATGGATAAAATCCCACATCTCACTGGCTCTGCAGTGAGAGAGGTCTCTTCCTGTAAGGCAACAATCTCAACTGTTTAAGTACTCCAAGATTACTTTTTGATACGGTCAACAACCCAGCAGTAGTTGCATTTGCAATTGAATATGTTTGTTGTGGCAACTGGGACCTAAAATTTCCATGGAAACATTACAATATATATATAATTTTTTCAAAATAAGTAAGTAAATTGAACAGCATTTTGTAAAAGTTGAATTATTTTACGCTGATCATATTTGACTGACAGTTCAAGAACTTCTGCTTTAGCTGTGTAATGGTTATGGCATAAATGCAATTCATATTATGCATTATGTCTATTTTTAATTAAAAACATGATTAAACATTTACACATGGAATTAAAACACATTTTGAAAAAAGCAGAATTTCACACACTTTGTAGCACTAATGAACTAATTAGCACCTTTTGTAGCCCTAAATATACCTCTGCTTGATGTGGACATGGCGCAGAGCATCGAGTAGATAACTCGAGTTATGAAAAGAGGATGTGTGTGACCATGCAGACCACTTTGTAACGTATGTTCCTGATTTAATGAGAGGCTCAGTACTGCCTGGCTGTGCACAGTTCTGCTAGATAGCACAATCAAAATGGCAGATAGTTTTCTGTCTTTCTAAAATATCCCAGATGATAATGTTCTCCTAAAACAAAAGGATAACAGCGATATTCTTCAGTTACAGCGATGACAGAGGAGACTTGGCTTTTGTCATTAACCCTGTCATTGTTACAGTTCCCTGCAATTCCAGTGAAGGCATTGTTGATGGCATAGAAACTGTTCTTGTAAAAACCAATGCCAGGGTGGCACTGTCTCCACACAATGCTTCTCTCTGATGACACGATGCAGAGAGAAAGAAAAACAACAGCTGTCTGTGGTGTGCCTGCTGGCCTGGGTCATTTCCACAACTCCCTTGTTGTGTGTAGGAAAAACTGCCTTAAAAATGCAAGAAATTAGAAAGTTCAGTTGTTTCAGAGTACCGTTGAGAACATGTCAATGGCTTTCATGTGCATTACTGCATATGATAGCTCACAGAAACTGGTTAACAGCAGATTGATTTTAAGGATCGTGTCCCTTTCTAGAGTTCCAACACAACCACGTGAGGGGTGAGTCTGCTCTGCAAGACAGACACCAAACACGAGCCATAAAATCCACATCCTCGTGCATGTGCAGTCATTAAGCCACTGTATCAGTGAGTTATGTTTGATTAATGACTGTATAATCTATTTGGGGACTGTACCACTAGTTCCTTGTACGTATTCTTTTGTATGGATAAACTGATACTTGGATGAAGTATATGAAAGCAAACAAGAAATCATAAAAGAAATAAAATAATTAAAACAATATCTGGAATTGGAGAGGTGGGGAGGTGTAGCAGAAGGAAACCCGTTTAGAAGATCTTGGAGCAATATATTAAGAAACAGCGAGATACTTGCCAGTTAGTGCAAAGTTTTCCACATCACAAGCAAACCCCTAGCTAAACAGAAAAAACAATCAGTCTGACTTGGGTTTATTTTTTTTATGGGACAGGGACAAAGCCAGGAAAAAAGCAGTAACGTCCAGAGAGGAGAATGAAGCTCCGCGTAGCTTCAAGCCCTCAAGTGAAACGTGGAGAAGGATGAACCAGGGGAAGGAACTGCAGCAGTGTACAGCTGGTGAGAGGTGAGCTGGGTGTTCAGGGGCACGCCACGCATCACCCTGCAGTGGCATTGGCCCCATGTGCACACAGCCCACAGTCCGCAGAATTTGAGCAGGTTTTCAGGAGACTCCTTTGGCGCTCATTTCGCCTTCACCTCCTGCTTTGTCCCCTGGCCCAGGCACTTTCTTGGTGCAGTTCTGGGTGGAGAACAAAGTCCTGCAGCCTCGCTGCCTTGCCGTAGGGCACCGAGGGCACTGAGCCTCCCATGGCAGCGCGTGAAGGGCCGCTTTGTTCAGCGGGCTCAGCGCTGCCTTGTTCCTCTGGCAGCAGCGTGGAGGCCGCTGGCGGGCGGCCTGCAGGGAGGGGAGGAGCAGGGACACGAGGGCACCGCGCTGCCCCCACAGTGCCAGCGCCCCTCGTGCATCCTCTCCCCCTGAGATGGCTCCGTGCCGCCCTCTCCTCGTGCTGTCGGGGCTGGAGGCACAGCCTCTGCCTTGTCTAGAGCCGGGCCATCACCGGCCCGCGCCCCCTGGCGGGGACGGAGCCGGAACGGAGCCGGGGCGGGGCCGGGGGCGCGCCGCAACCCGCCCCCGGGGCTGCCCTGCCCTGCCCGGCCCTGCCCGGCCCCGCTCCCGGCAGCTGCCTCCAGCCCGGCCGTGAGTGCCAGCAGCAGGTAGGGCCGGCCCCGGAGCCCCGCGGGGACGCGGTGCTGGGTGGGGGGGTCTCTATGGGGGGGGTCGCCCTTCCCCGAAGTTCCCCCCTGGGCGGAGGGGAACCGCGGAGCCCTCGCCGCCGGGGGCCGGGGGGCGGCGGGAGGGCACCGGGAGGCTCCGGGAGGCTCCGGCACCGAGCGGTGCCCCCCTGTTCGCCGCCCGTCCGAGCTGGGCGCGGTTTTACGGCGCCTCCCGAAATCCCCGTGCCGATCGCGGCCCCCCGCGAGGAAGAAAAGCCGTGCAGGGGGCGGGGGGCACAGCGCGGGGCCGGCCGCTTTGTTCTCGGCCTGGGGAAGGAATGCTTGAAAAGTCTGTTTGAACAGAAATGCCAAAAATGTAGACACTTAAAACGTATTTGAAATGTTTCCTAGGAAGAGTTTTTTTAAAAAAAAAGTTATGGGGATGACTTGTTTCAAGGAGGCCTCATTAGTAA